TCCCGATCCCGGGAATTCCTCATCCTTGGATCCCAATCCCGGGAATTCCTCATCCTTGGATCCCAATCCCGGGAATTCCTCGTCCTTCAGCCCCAGCCAGGCGGCCCCGGAGGGACGTCGGGAGCTGCTCCCAACTGGAAACCTGCAGGGGGAGAGGGGGAAACTGGGGATACTGGGAACACTGGGAATACTGGGGACACTGGGAATACTGGGGATACTGGGAATACTGGGAATACTGGGGACACTGTGGACACTGGCAATACTGGGATACTGGGAATACTGGGAATACTGGGGATACTGGGGACACTGGAGATACCGGGAATACTGGGAACACTGGAGATACTGGGAATACTGGGAACACTGGGAACATTGGGAATACTGGGGACACTGGGGATACTGGGGACACTGTGGACACTGACAATACTGGGAACACTGGGAATACTGGGAATACTGGGATAGTGGGGATACTAAGGACACTGGGAAGACTGGGGACATTGAGGACACTGGGAATACTGGGGATACTGGGGACACTGGGGCCATTTGGGGCCATTTGGGGCCATTTGGGGACAGCGCTGGGTGGGGCCAGCCCCCCTGCCCTCCCCTCCCCCCCATCCCGGTACCTCCGGCCCCGTCTCCTCCCGGCCCCCGAGGCCACCGAGGGCTCGTAGGATCCGAAGGAAAAATCCAGAACATCCCGGCAGCCATCGGGCCCTGGGGAACAGATCCCGAAATTCCCAGAGGGACTGAACAGCTGGGAAACAGCTGGGCTGGGAATTCCCAGTGGGATTGAACAGCTGGGCTGGGAATTCCCAGTGGGATTGAACATCTGGAAATCACCCTGATCCTCCCTGGGAATTCCCAATGGGATTGAGCCTCTGGAAAACATCTGGACTGGGAATTCCCAGTAGGATTGAACATCTGAGAATTCCCAATAGGACTGAACCTCTGGAAAATACCTGTGCTAGGAATTCCCAATGGGATTGAACATCTGGGAAGCACCTGGGCTGCAAATTCACAGTGGGACTGAACATATGGAAAACACCTGGACTGTGAATTCCCAGTGGAATTGAACATCTGGAAATCACCCTGATCCTCCCTGGGAATTCCCAATGGGATTGAGCCTCTGGAAAACATCTGGACTGAGAATTCCCAGTGGGATTGAACATCTGAGAATTCCCAATGGGATTGAACATCTGGGAAGCACCTGGGAATTCCCAATGGGATTGAACTTCTGCAAAACACCTGGACTGGGAATTGCCATTGGGACTGAACATCTGGAAGACACCTGGGCTGGGAATTCCCACTGGGAATCCCTTCCCACGCACCCCCACCCCCAGGTGCTGCTCTCACCTGGCTGCTCCCGCTCCGGCCGAGACTCCGCCTCTCCCGCCCCCTCCGGGGCTTTTCCCTTCCCGGTCCCCTGGCTGGGCACAGCTGGGGGTGGCACCGGGACCCCCCTGTCCCCATCCCTGTCCCCATCCCTGTCCCCACCCCCCTGTCCCCATCCCTGTCCCC